TCATGACAGAGTCCCACCCCTAAATAAATAAATAAATAAATATATACTATTTATTATTAAAATAATATACATTTTTGTATCATGTTTGTTTCACAACTATTGGTTACCTTGTTAGGCTTCCTTGTCCATAAAAAAAATTGTTTTGATAGTTTTAGTGTGGCATCCTGGAGTTTTCTTTTTTCAGCGTTCATGTCATACTCAAAAAAGCTTAAATGAATCTYARGAGAATGTGAAAGTGTAGCTCAATATTTGTAAAAGTGACTGAGKYACAGTCATAATTGTGTCAATTAGAATGTCCAGCTATCTTGAATGATTGACTGTAAGAGTAAATCAGTTGTATATGAAGCATACACTTCAAATGATTATGCTCTGAAAGTTTCATTGAAATCTGTTCAGCGTATCATGCAGTGTTTTGCAAAAACTGTTTTGCAGAGTCACCCCTAATTTACCCACGATGCGATTCCACTCCGCTCCGCTGCGGTGCGCAGTTCGTTTGCACCCCAATTTATACAGAGTCCCCTCCATTCAGACCGCGCCGATGCGACACACAGAGGAGGGAGYGTGTGCAGCAAAGAGACTGTGCGATAAATCCAGTGATAAATGTGGATGTCACAGCAAAATAATTAATTCTGTGGAAGACGGACTCCAAACACAGTTGAAACTGCTGCGCTGTCGTCTTTTTGACACTTCTAATTTCAAAATAAAATTCACTTGTATTATGTGTGTATGCACACGCTGCACGCTACATGCTGCTGTCTGCTTCGCAAACAGAATGATACATTTTTACAGCATTTGTGTRTAAATATATCCATATATTTAGTAATATAGCTGGAATTTTGACAAAAATTTGTCTGCCTTTGGTGAATTATTTTGAAAACACTGATGTTGTGCTTGTTCCTTTTCTTGTTGGTGTGACGTAATCTTTGTAGCCGGAGCAGCTCCGGCRTCAAAAATAGGATCAGATCTAATTTTGGTGGATCGCCGTCCGCTCACCACCGCCCTGCACCGYCGTGCGGAGCCAGTGTAAATATTGATTATAATGCTWGCATATTTGCTGTGGAGGTCAGAGGTCAGAGTGGCATCTAGTGTAAATTAGTGGTAAGGGTGTCTTAAGATAAGGTGCGTATTGTGTTTTTTTTTAATTTGCACAACAAAATGATGGCCCAAAAAAAATTCTGTTTTTATCTGGCAACCCTGGTGGTCTCACTCATGCACTGATCATGCAGGGGGTAACCAAAAAGTTCCACTCTGAGACCTGGTTTCAAAACATGCTGGTGTCAGTCTCCGATCGCCAGTGACGTGTGAACTTAGGGGCTGGATCGCAACAAAAAGGCTGCGGTTTTACTGAAAAACCATCTCCGTGTAAACAGCCCTTTAGAGACAAAGACGTTGCGCAATCTGTTAGGCCCCCAGAGTGTTCGYAACAGATCAGTCTCACCACCACACACTAGATTTTAGGTCAGTATCTGTAAAATTCACTGAGTTGCAGATGTTTTTGTGATGTTCTTGAATTGTTTTAACTCAAAAAGTCAAGCAGTTGCAGATGTGCAACCACTGATGATTTTATGAGTGTTTCATTATAACATTTGTGCTGTGGTTTATGAGATATATGCTCGTGTGATGGTTAAAAAAACATTATTTTCTGTTTTTGCCTTTCAGCAGAGGGTGATATTTGTCTGTAGTCGTATAATTAAGGTATACAGTATGTGTCCAGGCTTCACTTGGCCCATTAGCTTTGTATACTGGCAAMTGCTGACTGATTAACAGTGATAATAATTAAAACATGTTACCAGACCTATCCACCCTGATAAAATKAATCACTGTTAWACCTTGARAAATAGTATTGTTTATTGACAGATGGTCTGATTTAGTCAACATAGAAGAAAACGTTGACCGTACCTCGTTTCTGTTCTGCAGATGCTGTTCTTCAGGAAGGAGAATGTCACTTTGTCTAACACTGGAATGCTGTGACACTGAATTAAAATAATGTTCTATTGTTAGTGAAGTATTTTTCGTTATCTATTTTTTTCCATAAAAGTGAAGTTTTATTGGGATAATTTTATAAGCATATTGTTGACAAATGTTTTGTATATTTACAGTTTGTACATTTATTTGTTAGCATATTGGCTATATTATTTAGAAAAATGTGAATATATTTAATGCACACCCAGGTGAAAAAAATATTATACTAAGTATACTAAATCTAAGTATACTCTAGTATACTTGAAGCCACACTCATCATCAGTATACTTAAAGAATGTCATTTTGGAACAACTAATTTAACACTAAATATACTTTAGTTGTACTTAACTTGTACAAAAGCACGGTTTTAAGTGTATTAAGTATACTTTTAAATACTAAAATGGAGCAACTTCAAATATACTTAGTACACCTTAAGTGTATAGACAAAGCTATAAACTTAAAGTGTACTAAGTATATTTTAAGTTGTTCCATTTTAGTATTTAAAAGTATACTTAATACACTTAGAATTGTGCTTTTGTACAACTTAAGTACAACTAAAGTATATTTAGTATTAAATTAGTTGTTCCAAAATAGCACTCTTGAAGTATACTGATGATTAGTGCTGCTTCAGGTATACTAAAGTATACTTAGATTTACTATACTTTGTATATTGTTATAATTTTTTTTTCCTGGGCAGGTCTAGAGCAGTGCCATTTGGGAGGTAACGTGTATGGTCTGTAATTTTATGTCTTACATTTAGATGAAACTCCAGATGTATTAGCAGGACATGTCTCTGATTTCACCAACAGGTTGTAAAGTGGTTTCATTGTTAGCTGATTGCTGTAAAGCTTTATTTTGATTATTGGAGTGGGCAAACAGCCAATCAGAAGCAGTTTGCCAACTTGCATGCTAGCAAGTACTGTAAGCAAGCAGAGAACATTATGTGGCTTTTGATGGTCACGCTTTTTAATATGTTCTGCTGCACCATTAAAAGTTCATAATTTTCTCAAAGTTTATTGCAGAGTTGCAACATTATGAYGGAGATACGAAGAAGTGGCAGCGTGAAACAGGGTCACTGCTCCCACAGGAAGAATGTTCGTCTGCTAAAGCTCTGTCTGCCCCTGTATTTAATTAAATTCTGGTATCAGCTCTTTTCCTCTTATCCCTCCCTTCCTCTTCAACATGCATGAAATTGCACAGCATTATCTATTATTTATTCCCTCTCATTTGCTTATTGTTTCTTGTGGATGCCTTCGACGGGGCACTTGCCGCTCTGTTGCCTCTGATATGACGCTCCGCTTCAGCTTGCTCACTGCTCAGGCCCACCTCCTCTGCAGGTCTGAGTCCAACTCATTTGCTGGCAGTGGTTGAGGGGGAGCTACGGATTTTTTTCTCCTCTCTCCCCTCTCTCCCCCTTTCACCCAATGACAGCACGGTGAGATGCTATGAGGGCTGAGTGCTAATGAGCTGACTCTGCAATGCTGGGGGAAGATGCTCGGGAACAGAGGGGGAGTCAGAGGACGGAGCAGTCGGAGACGCTCTGGCAGACGGGGGAGCCGAGGGGCCGTTATGACCATGTCATGAAGGGGTTAGAGGGACACAGCTGCAGCAGCCAGACAGACAGAGCTGTGTGCCAACAAAAGGTGGCTATTTGGTCAAATTGCACACATTTAAAATGCAAAACCAACCGTGTTCGGCTGTTTCCTGTATCCTGCTGCTCGTTTTTATTTCTGTTTTGGCTTTTTATGTTGTTTTTTTTAAAGGTCATAAAAACGTATAAGTGRTTATTTACAATATCCCATAAAGTTGCATCAACATGTACAAAACTTGCATTTTATAGTAAYGCTTACACCAAWTRTGTGTTKGGATGACTCTCAGCAACTACCACACCAAATTTCAACTCAATATCTGCAAAATTGACAACTTGTGTATAATTAAGTTTGCTTAGGTGAATTATTTTGAGGCAGTCATCTTGAATCAGATTGACTTCAAAGGTTAATCAGTTGTACATATACATACAACGACTACTTTCTGAGAACCTCGTTAAAACCTGTCCACTGGTTCATGACATATTTTGGTAACAACACACAGGGTTGACTTTAATATGTAATGCAAAACTCTGAAATGAATATAASGCAAKGYCTGTTAGCACTCAGAGCTTACGATGGCATGACTCTAAATGACCACCACTCCAAATTTCAGCTCAGTATCTGTTAAATTGACTGGCTTATAGCCATGTTTGTGTTTGCTAARGTTGATTAGCTGTGGCGACCATCTTAATTTGGTTTGATTCCAAAAGTTAATCAGTCGTAGAAGCACATTCAGTGTTGACTTTRTGAGTGTTTCTTTGAAATCCGTCCAGTGCTTCACAAGATTTTTTTGCTAACAGACAGAAGACAGAGGCAGTTACACAATTGGCTGCTTTTTTATGCTGGCAGGTGATACAGACAAGCTAATTTATATATTTTTTAAACTGATAGGTGAGTACTTGTAAAATTGATATTTGCTGAACAGTCAGTTCAGTTTTGTGTAAAGAAATATTGACTTCTTGGCAGAATACAGACAGAACTGCTGGGAATGTGTATGACAGTTGTTCACACATGTATTTAATATATGTTGTTTCATTATCCTAAAGGATTTTTGTGGGGTTTTTTTCGAAGATATTTTTTTCTACACTTGATAGGAACAAAGTAAAAAGAAAAAACAAATCTCCATGTGTTATTTCCAGTGCACCTCCCAGGATCGAGGTGAGGAGGAAGTCCTGCTGGGACACTGGACACTCACTTACATGCATGGGTGACCGAGAAGCTGTTGGACGACTCCAGGTTGTCCACGTTGTAGTTGAGATGGAAAGGTTTCTCGGTGGTGTTCTGGTTGGTGTTGTAGAGTTGGACCGCGAACCTGAACGCGCTGTGTTCCTGCACCGTGGAGCGCATGAACAGMCCCCCTTTGAATGAGATGAAAAAGAAAAAAAATACAGGATCAGACACCTGAACTGTCCCACTGTCCTGCTCAGTCTACTGTTTCTTTTTACATTTATTAGTTTTGGAACAAAACGATCCAGAACTCTAAATACACAAAAGGAGACGTCTTTAACTCTKTTGTTTTCCGTCATCTTACCAAATGAAAGCTAGGCTACTTCAGCTGTTTTCTGGACATTTTTCAAAGCAGCTTTAATGTAGTTTTTCAAAGCAGATGCTTTAAGCCTACACCGCGGAAAATCAAGTTGCGCAAAGCTGCGCGCACATGACGCTTCCTGGATAAACGAAATGTACAAATCACGCGTTTTCTTTGCCGATCAGAAACTGCAGCTCTGCCCGGCAAAAAGCGCCGACTTACCGATGTTAATCTGATTGGGAAACCCTGCGAAGGACTGCTCAAAGACCCACAGGAACAAGAAGAACACCACGCGCTGTGCCATTTTCTCTCTCCGACCTGTCTCTTCTTCAACTCCTCAAAAGGTTCCGTCTCAGCAGATTCATATGTTCGGGATGAAAAGCCGGGAGCAAACGGATATCCAGCGGAGAGATGACGGTGGCTCACAGTGCACCAATTCATTCATTGAGGTGCAGCCCAGCTGCAGAGCAATTTTTTTTCTTCCTCTCCCGCAACTAAGAAAGAGAGAGGAGCCGGGAGAAGGAGGCTGAGAGGGAGGGGGAGGAGGACGAGGAGAGGAAGATGGAGCTGATCTGAACTCTGATTGGACCCGCCGCGCCAGGCCACTGTTGGTCAAACTTGATCTGACGTTAAATTAAAAAAAGAAGCCCCCCCAGCCGGGTGGATTATGACGCCTCGGGATGAGTGAGCGCGCGCGCGGCCACTAGTCAATGTGAGCCCACCGCTGACCGAGTCAATAAAAAGAACCCTGTAATCTCAGGTGGGCCGGGACTCCTGCGCGCCCAGCTGCTGCCAGATGTGGCAGCTGCTGCATTATCAGGATGCATGGGTGGTGTGTGTGTTTGGGGTGCAAAACAATGACGTGAAGCTATTGTTGGCTGGGGGGCTCTAAAGTTTTTGTCCAGCAGTATCACAAATATTAGAGGAACTCATTATGAAGAGCTGCAAAAAGTAATAAAGTAGCTAAATAAATGATCTGCACAATATGTCAATGGTTCCTCCAATAAAACTCTTAATAAAGTCTGGAAGTTTTCTTTCGTTATTAGACAATTATTTTGTCTCTTCAGAACATCAGCTGTGACACCTCTGATGAAGGCCTAAGAGTCATAAGGTATGAGAGATATAAAACATTTTAAAACAAAGTACGACTTCAATATCAGTGGTTAGTAATAGTGACCACACAACGTGTCCATCAATGGAAAGAACCAAAATGACTGAAAATAAACTTACTAGTCTCAGCAAAGGTTTTTGCAACAGCTGTGTGCGCTAAAAAAAGGGGGGAAAAGAAAAGAAAAACAGATATCTTGGATTTACTTAACTTATCTCAACATTTTTTCCCAGTGGTCTGTCTACACTCAAAAACAGATTGTTGGATTTGCTTAATTAAGTCATGTCAACAATTTTCACTCAACTGAGTTGAGTAAATCTAAAGCAACTTTCACATTTATTTTAAAGAAAATGTGAAAGTTGATTTACATTTCTGTTTTTTTTTTGAGTATTTGTGGTCCTGCTTTCGCCTTGATATTTACTCTTAAGTTGTCGTCTGTGTTTTCAGGTGTGATAATCGACACGATCCACTTTTATATTTTGATGTAACCATTGTCTTTTGTCAGAATTCTGCAATAACGTAGGGTAATGATGTGGTTTTAGGAGAATTCAACCCATTGCTTTATTTACATGAGCGTGGACCTGCATTTCAGAGTTGCACACCATTATATCTGTAAAAACTAATGGACGAAGCCTTTTTCAACAGTGCATTATGTATAGTTCAGAATAACCTTTGATATTTCTTAATTGGCAATGAATACATTTACTGTATATTAAATATTAAATAAGATAATAATAATCGTTTAGAAAAGTAAACATGCATTTTTGGTGGATAGCCAAGCTGTACATAAGGGAAGCCTTGTGAGGAAACAAAGGTTAAGTGAGTAGAGCTGTCCATGGTGCTGAAAGTGCAAATAAGTGAGATTTATGATGAAGGTTTTGCATTATGTGGTTGCATTTAACTCTAAAACTGTATCTAAATACATCTGTAAGGAGAAGTTTAAATCAATGTAAAAGTTAGGAATAAAATGTTAACTTGAGCAATAATGATTTATTTTATTTTATTATTATTATTTGGTTATTTAGTATTATTTTTTGTTTTAAAGCTGCAGCAATCCCCTTTGGTTCTAAACACACTAGCCATTAGCTCATCATTCTGGTCAGGAGAAAATTTTATCTAAGCTGAGATGCTTCAAAAAGCTACATAAAACAATTTGAATACTAAGCATACAAGTAACACAATGTATATCATTTTCTTATTTTTTTAGCCATTTTCTTGCATTAACATCAGAATGTAGCYTAATGTCTGCCAGTCCTTTGTAAAAAAAGATACATGTAAGGTTAGGTCTGTCAAAATAAATTGTCCAGCTGTCAGTTCTTGAGTCATTTTCTTCATTAAGAAGCAAGTAACTCACAACAATGACAGCATGCGAGATAAGAAGAAATACAAAAAAAAGAAAATCATTCTATATTTGGTTTGAACTGTCCATGTCAATCTGTTTCCAGCTGGGGTCACAGTTGACATCAGTTCCCTTGGAGACTGTTATCTCTCTGAAGATAAATCTTGCACACACTGATGCTCTGGTCCCCCCAGCCTCCGTGTCAAAGTTTCACCATGTTGTTCGTTTGAGCTCAGAGGCTGAAGTCATGTGAAATGACCTCAATCGTGCTGACTTCTCTGATTCTTCTTCACCATCATCATCATCACAACTTGAACTCAACAACTGATGGTGGAGTTGAGATATTTAGCTGTAATGTTGTTCAACTTAAATGTTATATAATGTAAAT